GGGGGGAGGGGGCATTAGAGTGTAAGCTCCTCTGTATAGAGACTGATGCGACTGTGGGGGAGGGGACATTAGAGTGTAAGCTCCTCTGTACAGAGACTGGTGTGACTGTGGGGGAGGGGACATTAGGAGAATCCACACGGCTTTGATATGGTGTTACATTGAAGTTTATCTCCATACAGATCACGGAGTTCTCCTCCGTCTGGTGAAGTGAAGAGGACTCTGTTGTCGGCCTGACGTTCAGGAAACCGGCTGCTTATAATGATGTTTTCGCCGCAATTACCGAGAAACAATTTATCTGCCGCTCTGAGAGATGACAAATCCAAAATACAAACATAACCCTTTCATGTGCGAGGAACAAGATTGTTATTCCAGAGCCGAGAGACACAGAGGAGTGAGAGAGAGGAGGGATGGAGGAGAGCGATGAACGGACTCCCCTCCCATCCCCTTTATATTACCCCTTCCCCCTGATAATGTCCCCGGACTCCCCACCCATCCCCTTTATATTACCCCTTACCCCTGATAATGTCCCCGACTCCCCTCCTCTCCCCTTTATATTACCCCTTACCCCTGATAATGTCCCCGGACTCCCCTCCTCTCCCCTTTATATTACCCCTTACCCCTGATAATGTCCCCGGACTCCCCTCCTATCCCCTTTATATTACCCCTTACCCCTGATAATGTCCCCGGACTCCCCTCCTATCCCCTTTATATTACCCCTTACCCCTGATAATGTCCCCGGACTCCCCTCCTCTCCCCTTTATATTACCCCTTACCCCTGATAATGTCCCCGGACTCCCCTCCTCTCCCCTTTATATTACCCCTTACCCCTGATAATGTCCCCGGACTCCCCTCCTCTCCCCTTTATATTACCCCTTACCCCTGATAATGTCCCCGGACTCCCCTCCTCTCCCCTTTATATTACCCCTTACCCCTGATAATGTCCCCGGACTCCCCTCCTCTCCCCTTTATATTACCCCTTACCCCTGATAATGTCCCCGGACTCCCCTCCTATCCCCTTTATATTACCCCTTACCCCTGATAATGTCCCCGGACTCCCCTCCTATCCCCTTTATATTACCCCTTACCCCTGATAATGTCCCCGGACTCCCCTCCTATCCCCTTTATATTACCCCTTACCCCTGATAATGTCCCCGGACTCCCCTCCTATCCCCTTTATATTACCCCTTACCCCTGATAATGTCCCCGGACTCCCCTCCTCTCCCCTTTATATTACCCCTTCCCCCTGATAATGTCCCCGGACTCCCCTCCTCTCCCCTTTATATTACCCCTTACCCCTGATAATGTCCCCGGACTCCCCTCCCCTTTATATTACCCCTTACCCCTGACAATGTCCCCGGACTAGCAATGAGCAATGTATTTGCACTTTGTACCTTGTAAACTTTCCTCGGAGAGACAAATGGAGACCTCATCATGCCGATCGTTCTCTTCCGCCACCCCGGCTATGGGGTCTTCTGTAGGCGTCAGGGACGAGGAGGAGTGTTCAGGGAAGGTGGCCGGCCCTCCCCGCGGAGGTGGGACTTCGATCCCCATTAGCCGATACTTTCTCCGTCGGTTCCCAATCCATGTCTGCAATGAGAGGAACAAGCGCTGTAATTAATTTGTAGGGACAATACAACCAACAATGGCATTCCAGTTACAGATGGATCTCCCCATCACAATCCTGGCTGTGTCCTCATCCACCTGGGAGTGTTGGGTATCACCACTCTTCTCCATGATATTTAATAGAAGGCAATTTAGAATTAAACATCCAGCCGGGTGAGGGGGAACTCCCACCCCCCTTCCCTCGCTTTGGTGGTTGCCCAAAGATTGACTCCGATGGAAATCCAATGGAATTGAATCCACAATTCTCAGGACGGATTATTCCTGGACGCGCTGATTTATGGCGGGCTCCCTCAGACCCTCCTGACGATTCTCAACCACATTCCACGACAAGGAACAGGACGAGGCCTCAGAGCGATGACATGGTGACCAGCGAGATCGTCCGTGTTCATGAATGATGACATGTAAGGGGTCCTCTACAGCAGGACATCTTAAAGTGCAGGTCGGGACCCAATATGGGGTCACGCAAGTGAATAGGGGGGGGGGTCGCGACTAAAACTCAATCCCCACGGCCGCCATCAGGGGGTTCCAGTACCTTCCCGAGTACGTCCGTGCAGGAATAATTTTTTTTCAGGGGGCGGAGCTTTTTATTCCCTGGCAGAAGCACTGAAGAGAAGGCAGGAGCAGGGCACAGTTGCAGGAGGGGAAAGGTAAGTTTTTTTCCAGCAGAAATTCCTGGTGGGGAAGGAAGTCAGTTGTTGGTGGTGGTAATAGAGACAGACACCAACCATTGGTGGGGAGTAGCTAAAGGAGGAGAGAGGCACCAACTGACCCTTGGGGAGGAGGAGAGAGAC